GGGTGGTCATGGAAGGTGTACGCTCCCTGCCAACACAAACACCAACCGCAGTTCCGCGGCTGCTGACCACACGCACTCGCTGAGCACCCGGGACGGTACCAGGAGGCTGAAGGCTGCGCAGCCCAGAGCCACGTGGGAGATCAAAGACATCTAGAGCAGGTCCAGTAAAGCAGTGATTGACTTCAGTGGACACGCGCCAAGTACCCGGACTACCAAAGACATTGACGGCCCCGGAAGCCACCAACAGCAACTCCGCAACACCGCTAACAGACACCAACTCAGGAACATTGGAAACAGTCTGGCTGTACTGAATGTGGCTGCCAGCTGTAGCAACTGACCAACCAGGACCCAAGACAGAAAGATTCAAGAGGAGTAGTGCGTCTAAGCTGGAATGAGGTGGAAGCGAAGTTGCAAAGGAGACCTCTGACAGAGTAGCTGGCACACAGCATGCGTCATGGGTACAGCCAGTCGCAGGGCACTCTGCCACCAAGGCCGTAGCCCGTGCAGCACACGTGAAATCGCAGGGCACTCTGCCACCAAGGCCGTAGCCCGTGCAGCACACGTGAAAGTGAGACAACTAGTGCCAGTCAGGACTCGTCCGTCCGCAGCATGGACGCTGCGTGCAGCAGCATCAGCCAGGCCAGAGTAACGAACGTAATAATAAGCAGGCACAAAGTCAGTCAATCCCCGACGAGGAACGCCAACAGCGTCAGGGGGAATGCTGGCCATCTCAACTGAGTGTTCGTTACCGCCTATCTCAACCAGTACAACAGTTGCCGGAGTACCCCGAAGACTCTCAAATTCAGCAAACGTTGCGAACACACCAGGACTGGTCGCAAGCAGCTTTCCGGTCACTGCCCCAGCAACAACGTACTGCTTCAGAGAACCTGGAGCAACTGTATGCACTGAAAACTGGTCAGGAGGGGCCGACTTGTAGTCAGGGACGTGGTAGCAAAGAATCGGGGAATCGGGGGCGCCACCCAAAATAGGAGGAAGAACAACGATGACTCCTTCGTAGGCTACACTCACAACTGGATAGACAGCTGAGCCAAAAGTCATCAGGGTTTGAGCATCAAGCTCGAATGATACAGTGTAACCTGACGCAGGTGGAACACTGTGAAGACCTTGAGACTCCAGCTCAGCTGTCAGAGAAGGAACGTCATAAGCAATGACTGCCGCCAAGTTTTGTTCGACACCAGTGAGGCCTGGAGAGTAGGCATAACATGCTGCACTGGTGCCGTCGCCATCGCAATAATGAAGAGGATTACGAATAGTGGTAGTACCACTTGGTGCAGATGGATACAGGACAACTTGATCGCCAGTCCTCGCCAGGCGAAAAGGGCCCAGAAGAATAGAACCGGCCGGAATAAACGAGACATCAAACGCTGAAAAAGTCGGGAAAGCGCGAGTGATGGTTCTAGGACTGGGAGCAGCACCAACTGCAACAACAGTGCCAACCCCTCCTGCAAAGGGGCCAGTCCGAGAAGTAGAACCAATAACTGTGCGCAAAGCTGTGATGGTCGCGACAGTGCGCAAGACAGTCGGAACCGACGCCAGGTCGACCGTCATTCCCGATCTCAAGGCTGCTTCTTCGAGCAAAGTGGTATCATCCAGGCAGCGTGTACTGGCTGGAACAACAACCACAGACACAGCTCCAGCGTCCAACTCACACATGTCAATGAAACGACATCGGTCTGCACTGTACAGGACCGTGAAAGGTCTGAAGTATGGACCTCTCTCAAATGACAAGGTGGGCAAACCGCACATACCTCTGGGAACCCCAAGAGAATGCACAAAAGGCAACGTATGGAACCCATACCGAAAAGCCCTGACCACCAACGTAGAGAGAGATCTGCAAACCTTCTGACACGAGTTCTGTACAAATCTTGAGCCAAAATGGCTACGGGATATTTAGGGGTTTAGGGGTTTTGGGTTTAGGGTTTAGCCGTGGCAGTGATCATCACTTCCCCCCCTGTCCACGTGCACACCCAACGACTTCCACAAGGCGCTATGACTTAGGTCAACCTTGTAACAAGAATCATTTCTCTATCGCTCTGCCGAAGCCGTGAGGCAAAGATATAAAAGTGATAATTCATTTACTCTTATTACTCTTGTTGTTAATATTATAACTGTCACAACTCATGATGATATGACTTCTACTATTCTGATCATTATAACTTTCGGTCTAATATACTGATTGTGAGTACTAGTACTGTTATATCTGTTCTTATTGTCATTATGCCGTATGTCACTGCTGCTCCACATGAGGGCCGTCGTGGCGAAGGTCCCGAGCCTCTCTGGTACTGTACAAAGTTAAAGTTGCCATGAATTAGAGTGTAGCCATAGGGTTTAGGCTTTAGGGGTTTAGGGCAGTTTAGGGGCAGCCATCTCCCACAACAGGGTCTTGGGGTGTATGATAGCATAGGTATACCCTAAATCGACAAACCTAAGCCGTAAAGCCTCCACATAGAGGCTACCAACATTTTCTGGCCTCAGCGATTACAAACCTCCCAAACTTGGCATAACTACAGCTCCTCGCAATTACCCTATGTGCAAGCCCCTCGGGGCCCGTTTTAACCAAACAGAAGACTTCGGATTCGCCCCCCTTGTGTGGCAGGTCTTTTCGTGCTATTTCAAGAGGCTTGAAATGACGAAATATGTCACAGATCGGATTCCATTGGTTACACTTCTGCTTCTAGAAGGGCAATGCGCTATGCCATGGCAAGCTTGCTTACGTCTCAGATTTTGCCTTCTGGCTTCTGCTGCTTTGATTCCCCGATGGCTGCGCCAATACATTTCAGCCCAATATCAGCTGCAGGTTCTGGTGAAACAACACACTGCTGGAGGAGACCGGAACACGGGGCAAGTCGTACACCTAAACCATTAATCCGTTCACCTTGAAATCCAAAACTCCCCAACCCTAAACTCATGGAAGCGTATTTTTGTTTTATAACCTGGAATCAAAACCCTTTTCAGGAACAAACAAGCAAGGAGCGAACCATGAAAGCTCAAACAGGTTTGCAATCCTTGCTTATGGGGTGGAATCTTCAACACCAACCTTAAAAACACTGCTCTTCCCCAGTAACACCGGTTGGTTCCATCACATGTAAAACTGCGCGGCTTCGATTGCGATTGACAACCTCCTCCGACCATGATCCTTATGGCAGTTTGAAACATTACGACCGTGACGGTCGTCGTGATATTTAGGCGCACTAGTCTACAACTACTAAGCGGACAGCTGTCGTGACTAGCACGAGGTATTTTGTTAATGTTGCTGCTAGTGGTTGAACTCGTTCCTGCTCGCACCAAATGTCACTCCAACTGTGGTAATATATTGTTCTTCGATGGTACTTACTCGCCACAGTGCCAATACTGCTGTAATCATGATGACGGCTGTTGTGCCATCTTACTAAAACTGCGGTCGCGATTTCATCAACATCACACCATCGTCACCATGGTTGCGCAGCTGAGCTCCGAGGCTCGGACGGACCCCTCCTCAGGACAGATGCATAAATGTTTTCATGCGCGACCAGGGAGGTCAAGGTGGTCAAAACTGCCATGCTGAGGCTCAGTGCTAGCAGCTTTCTGCCTGCACACGTACCTAATGAAACCAGTCGCAAGCCAATTCTGCGGCTGCCATAGGGTTTTGCGTTTTGAGATGGAGCCCGCTTCCCAACAGGAGGTACCAACAAACAAACACTTCCATTGCCCCACTAGCAACCCACCTGCTGCGATTATCGTCTCAGTGATTCGGGCTCACTACAACGGAGAATCGGAGGTGAAGAGTGCACCGCGCAAGGCACATGCAGAAGACTGCAACAACGCAGACGGGAAGAGATCTATGAAGGCCCGGCAGCAAAGAATCGAGGTTCGAAGAGCTTGCTAACCTCGCGGAAGATGGCAGCAACCCAAACAACCATTCTCGGCTCGAGACCCGGGGTGGAGCATCCTACAAGGCGACGAATCTCCAAAACTTGCCAAAAGCGGCAACCCCGCAGGCCCCCAGCCTCGACTCTGGGAGTACAGCAAGAACCCTGCCCGTGTAATGGAAGGCTAGGCCTACGGAAGTTAAGCAAGAGGGCAATTGCAGCAATCTAGACCCGCAATCTCGGTGCGAGACGGGAGGCCTGGGATTACCGCAGGAAGCCGGCAACAGGGAATGGAAGGCGAAAGATGTACGGAACGTGCGGAAGATGGCAACCAGCCCAAGTCTCGGTGCAGACGGGGGATCTGGGATAACAGCAGGAACCCCGTGCAGGAAATCAAAGGCGAAAGACCTTCGGAACATGCGGAAGAACGCAACAACCCAGACCCGCCCCCCCAATCTCGGTGCGAGACGGGAGGTCTGAACGGATGTGCTAACGGATTGACCTGAACACGGTCAACGGAGACCTACTGAGTACGCGGCGGGCGAATCTTGCAAGAAGAGGAAGTGACAGTGTCACTGTCGCCCTCACGGCAGGAATATGGGCGAGCCGCCTTAGTGCCGCCTGCGGTGTCCCGCCCACCTCCGCAAGACCCCGTAAGTCCGTCAGAACAGGGGTGGCTCATAAGAGGGTAATTAGATGAGGATTCTACAAGCGGGATGCATTCCTTATGCATTGCACTTCGGCCTCGAAGTAACAGCTATTTGGGGCTGATACGGCTCAGAGTTTGGGGAGTATACGGTTCCCTTGCTCTCCCTGGGACTTCGGCAGCCTTTAAACCGCTCAAAGTCAGCGAATTCGGCTGCGTTGCAGCCCTTCCCTCGACCAATCCGGCTGCGATGGCCGGCAGAACACATCACACGCTGAACAAGCCTCCTTCGTGATCCGTTTCTTGTGGCGTTGAAGATCTGAAGAGGGATTCAAAGACAATCAGAGATGCTGAACCGAAAAATCGCAAAACTGCGTTGCAACTAAGTTTTTTGTTGGACTTATATGGCTATGGGACTGATGAAACCAGTTATGACTTACGACATACGAAATCCACACCATCCCGGGTCTGGTGGCTCACGACGCCTACGGCTGCGTGGATCGCATGGTGCCGAAGAGACCGCGCGTCTCTGTCGGTGGCCTCTTGCATTGCGGGGCGGTCTCCAAGCTTCCAATGTACCCTAATGAAGCTAGGAATGCATATACGTACATAAGTAGTTGCATTATGATACATCGAATTGCAAACCTGATCGCTCATGTGACCTGAGGAGTCTGCATGAATAATGAAAGACTAAGACTAAGCAGTTAGACAAGATCTGGCGCTGCATGTCATTGCGACGATTGGAAGGACCAATTCAGAAACCAAACGCTTAAGCAGAAAGTACACATCTGCAATCAAAGAGCAGGATGGAGAATGACGAGAATTACGTCAGAAACAATAGTGACAGGAGACATGTCCAAAGCATGCTGCCAGTTCAACCGGCGAAGCCACCTTATCAGGCTATAGATAGAGCCGCATACATCTCGGACTGCATCCGAAACCTCGGCATGGTCTTCTGGGCTTCTTGCGGGACCACGGTCTGTAGGGCCATTGCCGCGCCCACGGTCGCTGCAGTCGCCTTGAAGGGGCAAAGGACGGCAAAAGCGACAAGGGAGGGTACCCAAACGCCCCAAAGTAGTTCCTTTTTGGTGTTCATATATAGAATCCTATAAGGTAATCCCAAAAAGGAACTACTTTGGGGCCTCTGGGTAGGGAGAAGGAGAACAAGGGAGAGCAAGTTCTGCTAGAATAACCTTGTGGCACCCTGCCATAGCTAGGTTTGTACAGGCCTGGTGGCAGGGCCTAGCACAGAGAAAACAGGCTGCCCACACAGCACAACACTGTCATTAGCTCATGATAGCTAGTACCACCACCACGACGACTACTAATGCGAGGACTGCGACCGCCACTACGACTATGGCGACGAAACCCTAGATCCCAAAACCCCCAGTGAACCGCAAAAAGCCCTAAATCCCAAAACTCCAAACCCCCAAAACCCTCTCTCTCTCAGAAATGAAACAAAATAGTGTCAGCCAGCGAGTCCGCACACCCTCTGAATCCGATTCCCCTTAAACCCTAAACCCAAAACCCCTCTCAGAGAGAAAACGATTCCCTCAAAACCCCCTAAACCCCTTTCCAGAAATCAACAAATCAGATTCCCCCTAAACCCTAAAACCTTTAGAGACAGAACGATTCCCTCTAAACGTACTTGGAAGCCCTTTTGACTTAGTAAGTCTACTTAGTATCCCCTAGAAACCCTATTATAATCCCCATAACCCAGCTTACTAATCCTAGTTACTAAGTCAAAAGGGCCTCCAAGTAAACCCTGAACGCCTTTTCAGTTTCCGATTCCAAGGGCCCGGCTCCCAAAGCTCCCGAGTCCCAGGCCCTGCCAGCAGCGCGGGCTTCCATGGGGGCGGGGGGCGGGGGGGGGGGGGGGGGGGGGGGGTGGGTGGATGCATCCAAATTTGTGTATTAAATAATATATATATATATATATATATATATATATATATAGAGAGAGAGAGAGAGAAAGATTACATGATAATATATACAATATTATATTACATATATATGTATATACATATATAATATAATAAAATATAATCTGATATATACATATATATATGTATATGTATATATGTATATATGTATATATGTATATATGTATATATGTATATATGTATATATGTATATATGCATGTGTATATATATATATATATACATAACATTATATTATATTATAGTATATATAATATATTATGTTATATTATGTTATATTATGTAATATTATAATATAATATATTATATTATATTATATTATATTATGTTATATTATATAACATAATATAATGACATATTATATTATATAATTGTATTTTATATTATATTATATAATTGTATATTATATTATATTATATACAGTATAATATGATATTGTAAACAATATAATATAGTATAATAACAAAGAATATGCTATGATATAATATAATATAATACATATATATATAGATAGAGAGAGAGAGAGAGAGAGAGAGAGAGAGAGAGAGAGAGAGAGAGAGAGAGAGAGAGAGAGAGAGAGAGAGAGAGAGAGAGAGAGAGAGAGAGAGAGAGAAGAGGCTCCTTCAAAGTATGTTCTTTCGGAGGGATTCATCAGGGGTCGATCATGGACCTTCTTTTGCCGCCTTCACAGTTGCAATGGTGATTTGGAGTTTTGTACAGTGTGGTTAGGTACTCTCGAGACTGCAGTATCTGAGAGCAGTCAAGACTTAACAGCGGGTTAAGGTTGAAATTCAGTCTTTCACGGGAGCCGAGACTTCGGTGTTTTTTTGCAGGCTTAGCGGCTTCTACGTTTTAGTTGTCTATTATTTTCATTCGGCTTTTCGATGTTCAGGTCTGGGGCTTCAAGGGCTCAGGGGCCGCAGGAGTGCGAGGGTTCGCGGCCTTCAGGGCTTTAATCATAAGGACCCTTAGGGGGGTAGGGGGGACGTGGGGTAGGGGACTATACTTCCTTAAATAGGCCATACGAAGTCCTTATTATCGGTACTAAAGCCCCCTACCCCCTTCCCCCCTAAGGGTCCTTATGATCTAAGGTGTATGGATTCAAAGGCTCTGGCATTGAGTTAATATCAACTCCTAAACTCAGCTGTGCACAAGTAGCCGGAAGAGTCGTTGCGGCTGCGGTCATCACCCACTACTGCTACGACGACTGGTGCCAGGTACAATATCATCACAGAGCTGGACGATGCATGGCCACCACTTTTATATGTGCTGCATGGCAGTGAAAGGTGCGAAAGTGCACCATTGTTATTAGTATTTTCTATTTCTACTATATCACTGGCTAGTCTTATTTTCGAGAAGTAGTAGTCGTAGTAGTCGCGTAGTGGTCGTCGTAGTAGTTGTAGTCGTAGTCGTAGTCGCAGTCGGAGTAGGAGTAGTAGGAGTGGGAGTAGGAGTGGGAGCAAGAGTAGTGGCAGCAGCAGCAGCAATAGTAGCAAAAGCAGTAGCAGTAGTTAGCAGTAATAGCACTAGTAGCACCGTGGTAACAATGGCAAGCGGAGGCAAAGCAGCAAACGCATTACTCTGTGGTGGACTTTGCGGACAACTGTCTTGTGCCATAGACATGACCAAAACAAGCTTATGGTCATGACCACGATAAAACAAAACACGGTGCAGACCATGACCACTCACACGACCAAGGCTGACACGCGCTATCCCTAAACTCCAATCCGCCTAAACTGCCACACCCCGCATGATCCAACAGGTGCTGTTTCAGCGAAGCAGCGTAGAGAGGTGATCCGCCGGGCGAAGCAAAACCTCCCGCTCGCCTGTGCAGTTGCCCGACAGGGATACATGGGCGGTAGAGTTTCTTTTGCGTTTTCAGGATTTCGAGATTCAGAAGTAGGCTTCTGGGTTGAAGTTCAGAGTTTTGGACGGTAAGATGAGGGTGTTCAGGTAAACTAACTGTTTTGGAGCTTCGGAGCACGGCGCGACGTCTGCGTGTGCGCGCATGTGTGTGCGTGGCCCGCATGCTGCTGTAACAGGCTCGTGGCTTTCGCTGCTACTTCCACCCTTTCGTTCGGATAGATCGGCAAGCTGTACTTGCGGCCTTTGCTTCCGGGTTAGCTCGCGTTCAGCTCTGTCCACCGATCCCTTCTGTCGCCCTGACAATCGCCAGCATTGGCCAACAAACCCATGCTGAGACCGGAGGGGTCTCTCTTAGCAGAATGATAAAGTTGCCTTGATAATTAGAATAAAGTTTTGGGGCCCACTCTACTATAATTATCATAGTACTGGTAATTGCTTAGACCCCTATAGTAACCCTGAACCATGTTCCCAATACTTCATTGAGCACGCAAAGCTGCCACTGGTGCAGGTCCCAGACCTTCCAAAATCCCGCAATTAAGGAATATTCTTTACATCATAATAGGATCCCTAAGATGAAATGTAAGGTATATTCCTTACTTAAGGAATATTCTTTTAAATTATACTAGGATCCCCGTCATGAATTCAGGTATATTCCTGAATTAATGTATATTCCATAATGAAGGGACTTGGGACGGTCTGGGGGCAGGCAGCCACAGTTCAACCCGCCTTCCGGACCTTCGTAGACAAGACCTCAAGAGCTCATCTAGGGCTTCATTAAAAGGGATCTATAGGGTTCTTTGTGAAGGGATCTATAGGGCTTCCTTAAAGGGATCTATAGGGTTCCTTAAAGGGATCTATACTTAGATCCTATTAGGGTTTAGGGTCTACTTGGAGGATCATGGGACTTAGGAAGTAAGGTCAGAAGCACCTCGATTGGGGCTTATATACTAAGTCCCAGGATCTAGGGCTTCCGAACATCAGGGACCCCTACCTCAAACGAACAGAACCAGACAGTAGGATCCCAATTTGGTAAGTACTGCAAGGGGCCTCCGAGCTCACGAAGCAAACCGTGAGCCCACCAAAATCTCTGGTACAAACGTGAATCCTCAGCAGTTGGCAAACTTCCAACCCACAAACATGCCTCGCATATACAAGGCCACTAGTGAGTTCAGCACTGATGCAAATCAAGACTAAGATAATGGGAACGACAAATCAGAAGCAGCAGGAATCGGAACTAAGAGCACCAGAAGCATGCGCAAGCCGAGAAATCAAAATCTTACCAGTATCAAACTTCGGGAATATTTTTACATGGCTATTGCTGATTCCTGTTACATACTACTATTACAACTATTGTTATTCGTATTATTTGTGCCGAAAGTATAGGATCAAAGGCTGAAGGTTGACGCAAACCAAGTGTCTCAGGCCGTGTCTCAATTAGGGTTGGAGGAATGAGGAACTACCTACTGTAAGGGCCATAATAATCAGAACAAGGCTTTGGGGGGCTCCTTATTACAACTATAGTATACAAAACCCCAAAACCCTATTCTAATTCTTAAGGCCCCTATATTATAGTCTCCATTGTAGGTCTTTTCTTGGTTTAACCAATTCTTTTTGTAGGATCCTAAAATGTAGCCCCACAAGGCATCCGAAGACCATATTGTTGATTGCCAATGCTCAAAGGCAACACTAGGGCTAAAAGACTAAACCTTTTGAACGAGGTCTCTCTGAAGTGCCTCCAAGTTAAGGACTAATCCTAAACCCTAAACCAGTAGCCTAAACCCTAAACCATTATCCTGAACCAGTACCCTAAAGCCTAAACCAGTACCCTTTTCAGCATCCTAATCCCTAAACCAGTAATCTAAACCCTAAACCAAGATCCTGAACCGTATAGTTGAGGCTTTGCTCTGGTGCCTCGGGCCCGGGTCCACGCAGGACCAATCTCCTTAAGGTTTAGGGCCTTTAGGGAATTGAGTCAGAATTGCAAATTCCACGCCAACCCCCACACACAAAAAATATACATAGGCCCCAACATCCCCAAACCCCAACCTAAACCTAAGCAAACGCCAAGTAGCGGATCTTCTCGTCTCCAACGTTTGGTGTCGGCGGAGGTGCCTTCGAGGTGTTTAAGGTCTATTAAATACATGCAAACATTGGAGGTGCAGGGCCTGCAGGGGCAACCCTGAACTCGAAAACCAATGAGCCGCAAAAGACCCTGATGGCACTATGGCAAAGCGGCCTTGTAGGTGCAGCAGGTGATGAGCCCTGCGTAGTGGAGACAGTGAGATGCTCTTTGGGGGGGTTTAGGGATTCGGGTTTAGGGCTTAGGGGCTCTTGCCTGCAGTATCTACGATGCCTGCTTTCGCGCAGTTTATGCGTATAATCGTCCCAGCTGACTTGCGCCTTACGATTGTCGTTTTGTCTTGAGTCTTGACGTCTTCGGTTTTGTCTTGAACTCTGCCTGGCCCGCAGCCCGCGCCGATTTTTTAGGGAGTGCAATTTAAGTTACCATAACAGGGCTCCTACTGCTACTGCTTCTGCCACTGCTACGGCTACTCCTACTGCTACTGTTGATGTACCTGCTAATGCTACGAATGCTGCTACTTCTTCTGATTCCTGCTCCTACTATTACTGAACTACCGCTCTCTCTCCGTCTCTCTCTCTCTCTCTCTCTCTCTCTCACGGACTGCTGAACCACTGCTGGTGCAAGTAAGTACTGCAGCAGCAGCTTCCTATACTCCTCGTACTCATTCGTAACTTTGCTTCCGCCGTGCACAATCGTGTTACGACTATGATGACTACACCTTGCAATTCCTTTGTCGGTTCTGTTGCGCGACGACAACAACAACGACATTGCTTTTGGTTGCACGACGACCACGGCAAGGAGGAGTCATCATGCCGCCATGCCCTCGACAGACAGGCCTCAACGGCAAACATATGCAACGTCTCACTAGCGATGGTGTTGAGACACAGCACCCGCTGGTGACACTCGAGCTAAAACATCACAGCTGCTTGCATTCGTTGCGAGGTAAGCTTTGGAAGTGGGTGGATTCCGTTGCAACAGAAAAACTGCAATGCCCGTTTCTCGAAAGGAACTCCAACCCTACACGAACGATATGACAGCATGCACGACAAGTCACACTACCCAGAGGCCCCATAGTAGTTCCTGTTTGGGATTACCTCATAAGATTTTAAGTATGAACCCCAAAAAGAACGACTATGGAGCCTTAGTAGGGTATGTTACTATGGTGCTGTGCCGTGCAGTGTATGTACGCAAGCCAAAGAACCAAGATCTGATATCTTCCGCCCTGGACTGAGCAACCCGGCAAGGCCTGCTGTCACAAGAAATCCTAGGGCGACAGCAGCGACACCTTGCTGAGGCTTTCTGGATTCGGCTTGGGGTTTTGGGTTTAGGTTTAGGGCCAGGGTGTACGGGGTCGGAACAGCACTACAAGGAGAAGCATAACAAAACCCTGTCCATAATGGAGCATGCCAATCTTAACGGTGGGGTTTTGGGCTTTTGATTTGTAGAAGTTTGGGTTTCATGATCGTTGTGCTTCAATTTGAAGGCGGACTGTGCAGCACGGTGAGGTTGAACACTTTGACGTGCACCCGAAACCCCTTACATCCTAAATCCTCTAAGCCCTTCACCTGAGACGCTACATCCTAAACCCTTCGAGAACCCTTCCTTTAGAGTAGCCCTCACAAAGGAATCCCAACCTTAGTTGCTGCATTCATAAGCCCCCAAAAGGGTGCGCTTTCAATTCAATAGTGGGTAATATTGTCCCAAAAAGTGAAAACGTGCATCCACTCAGCTACTAAGTAACCCCTGAACCCTAAGCGTTTACAGCCGAGGCGCAGGAGATGAGATGCCACGCCCAAACGCCGTCGCGCTCCGAATAGAGCGCAGTGTAGCTCTCCTTACTACGACGTTTAGGGTTTAGGGTGCTCTCCTTAATACGACCCCATCCATGTGAGGCTGTACGGTTGAAGGGATGCTTGATTTCCAAACCACCTACAGAAAAACCCTAACCCGTGAACCATACTCCCAAACACCTAGACTCTAGACTTTGACCTTAACGCCCAGTCAACTGGGTGCTGGCAGCATGTCTAATCCTCGATGCTCACTCTAGCGGGTTCCTGAAAAAACAAAAACCTACTTTCCAGGGCGGCCATGTGCCCAACGGAAACCGCACAAAAACTCCGCGGAACTAAAATGTGTTGACGAGCTTTGGAGCAAGAAAATATCAAAACCCTGAGCCCTGGGGGGCTCGAGGGCTGGAGTTCAAAGTCCAGTTGTCATCTTGCGATGTAGAAACCAAGATGACACTCAAGGTCGTTGCTGCACATGCAACTTTGTTTGCAGCCCCAGTCCCTGTAAAGTAGTTGGTAACAACCCCTGAATACCCCAATTGTGAAGTAAACCTGAAAAAACCGCGGGTAACTGGAGACACAGCTAAAAGGCTAAGCTCAAAACCATACACAAACCTGAACCCAAAATGCCTCAAACCAAAGCAAGTTGCAAGTCTACAACTACCTCCAACCACACGTCCAAAATCTTGGAAACAGCCCCAACACCCAAAAGCCCCTGACTGACACCCTACAACCCTAAACCCATTTAATCCTTACGCGAAACCATCGAGAACCTTTGACGCGATCTTCCGGAGCCCCCGGCATCGCCCATCACGCCGTTTACGATCTGTGCACCGCGCCTTAGGTTTCAGGTTTAAGGTTCTGTTTTTACAAGCCGGAACTTTGAGTCTTCTAGAGTGTTTCTTGCCGTTCGCAACACGGCCAGACCAGGCGAGGGCTGCGGGCCTTCATTTGGGACCACAGCCAACCTAAGCACGACATCAAGTCCACCCTGTTCTAACGAGTTACTACCAACTCCGCCCACTTCATCACCATCAACTCTGAAAAGTCTTCATCAGCCCACTACTCCGCTCGATTCAGCTGGCGAAATGATGTTTGCATCACTGGATGTGGTATGTAAGGCATAAGTTAAGCTCAATATCCCTGGTACAAACAATAAGCCTTCTCTTGAGAAACTCACAACACGCCGAATTCGGCAGGAGTAGCTCATCCACCTATATCCACCTTCATTGACGGTCTTCACACTTCGAAGATGGTTGGCATACCATGCTGATGGCACCGGTGGCGCTGCGGCTTGGGTAGAGGAGACTCTGTCTGTCCCTGATACAGGTATTTTGGAGCGGTCAGTCCACACGCGGCATGTTGCCGGTAATCTCCACGCTGCGAGCCACGGCTCTCAGCAGCAGTCCATAGACCCCAACTACTATTTGCTTAAGAACCCCCAAAAAATAGAAAATAATAATCCCTATATTATCCCTATAAGGAATATATTTTTTATTTTTTGGGGTTCTTAAGCAAATAGTAGCCAACTGCGATGTCAGCTTGTCTAAAACTCGGCCTCTGCACACAATGAAAGCCGGAAGGCCCACCGCTCTGCCCTTGCACTCCGAAGCCTCGCCCACGCCGGTGGTGCAGCAGCGGTGGCATTTGAATGGCTTAGGGTTCAGAGTTTCGGTCTTAGGGTTGTAGAGCTTAAGCGCTCAACTGAAGGTTTGTGGATCCCAATATTCAGGTACCTGTGTGGTAGACACTTTGTCCCCACAGTACCTATCGCCTTTAACACGGGAACGCCTGTAAGGCAGGTATAGACTCCGTGGGTACATGGCCGCTTACGTAAAGTTTATGATCCCCTGCAGGATCCTGACTGTAGCGACAACATGCGGTAGCTCAGGGCCACTTATAAGGTTGCAGGATGTTGTATGGCGCGGGGCTCTGGAACGTATTCTGACTCGGGACTCTTTGCTCTTGGCTTTTGTCGCATCCGAAAAGCCGAAAAGCCTTCAAACACAACTCAACCGAGCAACCTTACATAGCCTTGAAAGGTTCGATGACTCAAACGAGGATTGAAGTGTGTGCGCGCCTCTCGCCGACCAGGAGAGTAAGCAGATTCTCAGTAAATATACTGTGCGTTGCAAGGTTCAGGGTTTAGGAATCCTCTCTGAAGCCTGCACCCGGCTGCTCAGGACACTGGCACGTTAACCCTGGCAATTACAGATCATCAACACGATGACCGCAACTAAGGCAACGAAAACCCCAGTACGAACTTCTTACTTCCCCAGACCTTCCAAAATCCCTCAATTAAGGAAGATACCTTAATTCATATTAGGGATCCTATTATAATTTAAGGTATATTCCTTAATTAAGGGATTTTGGAAGGTCTGGGTACTTCCCCAGATGCATGAAGTACCAGCTCAGGCTCCCCTACTCAGCACACGCTTTGAGTGTATGCCGGCAAGCTGGAAACTTCAGATCTTCACAAGAAACCAGCAATTTAGGGTTTAGGGTTTTAAGGTTTAGGGTTTGCGGGTTTAGGACCAGCAAACCTTGAAACTGAACTCATTGCACAGCGGTTGAATTTCGTTCAGGCTCCCCAGACCCTAAACGAGTAACCTCCAAGTGCCCTTAAGCCTTAAAGCCCTCGAAGCCCAGAGCTGAGTGCATCGGCGTTCTGGGCACGGGCAGGGGATCGTGGTAGAGCGGCCCGGGGGAGGGAGAAGAAGGCTCCGCTTGGGCGTGGTCCGGAACTTCGCTGAACTGCCCAGGGTTAAGGGTTTGATTATTGGGGTGTAGAATGTAGGGGCCTTTTCTCATGATTATCGGGTTTGGTGGTATATGAGAAAAATGCAACTGAACCCCAAAGGAATGGCATCTTTTTGTCCGAGGTTTGGGGGTCATTAATTACGTTCTGGACTTGGCTTTGCGCACAGGATTTCGCAAAAAAGAGCTATGCGGCTCGGGCTTTTTTGGTGCTCGGATCTCCCACACATCACCTGGTCTTTTACTTACCTTTGGTTAATAGCTTTTACTTACCTTTGGGGGTTACTATAAGGGATCTATAAGGGTACTATAATATAGGGGCCTTAATAATCCTATAACTTACCTTTGGATAGTAGGGAATGGAGGAATGGGGTACAATTATAACTACTATTACTACCATTCTTCCATTCCCTACTAACCAAAGGTAAGTTTAGGGTTTCGGCGCTCGCACCCGGACAATCCACACTTTGAGTGTTTAGGGGTTTGAAGTCCTTGACATGGGGTTTTGCGCTTCGCACTCTTCGATGGGATCCGGACTTAAGGGTTTAGGGTTTAGGGGTTTAAGGTTTAGGGTTTAGGATCTGATCTTAGTGCTCTAATTATTACACTGGACATTCCATGGTTCCTTTTCCTTGGTCTCGGACAGGATGCTGCCGACGGGGTCCAAAAGGTGCACGGGGCAACATGGTCCAGCCCAGAAGGTGCCATCCCTGGCCTCCATGCTCTGTGATCTGCGCCTCTCCGCACGCAGAGTGATGTGGGCAGAAACCTGGCCCGTCTGTATGTGTACATTGCGTGGGCCCCGTCTGTAACATCCAGGCAGGCTGCCACTGCTGGCAGCCAGAGTAGAATGCTCAGGGAATCATCTCGTGCATGGACGAGGCGCTTTAACATCGTAGGCGGCTCGTGCGAAAGCATGTCCACACTATGGCAGTGAAGTCTGCGAAACATCTGCGACTCGGCGACTGATCCATCGCGAAGTGCATCTGGCAGTCGCAGAAGCTAGACTCCACAAGCCTGCACCAACGAGGTTCGAGTAGTATTCGTATGATAAACTTTACTGTATCATACTACTGTATATTCGTTATCCTTACTGCACCATGGTAAATCTTACATCTGCATTGTTATGGTAAGCAGTAGTAGTCGTGGTGGTAGTAGTAGTCGTCGTCGTCGTCGTAGTAGCAGCAGCAGCAGTAGACCCTAAGCCTTTTTTGAACAGAATGCACTAAACTAAACCCTTTTTGCATCCAGGCCTATTGCGACTGCCGGGTACCCTCCAAGCTAAACCCGAAACCGCTAAACCGTCCGAAACCCAGAACCCCCAGATAAGAGTTTCCGAAACTTCTGGGTACCTTATTTTGGGGTCCTTTATACAAGGATCCTACTATTTAGGGTACTGGATTAGGGTCCCCTATTTTCGGAAACCCCCAGATATCCGAAGCCTGAGCCAGGAGAGGCGACAGCTCTTTGTCGGCCTGGGATCGGTGGAAGGCCGGTGTACAGGGCTTAGGGTCTTAAGGGATCTTGAGTGGTAGTAACTGTTCCTTGAGGGCTGAAGGGATCCTGGGACTTAGTATTTTGTTCTTAAGGTTTCGGGTTTAGGTTGAGGGGGTTAGTTAGGGTTTGGGGTTTATTTAGGGTTTAGGGATCATGGGACTTAGCAAGCAGGGTTTAAGATTATCATTTGGGTAACACTCTCTCGCTCTCCCAGGCATTCGGTACGTCAAGCCAAACTACTGTACCAAAGGGTCATAGGACGGGGTAAGCAGGGAAATTATTTGGGGTAACAAGACTGTACTTGTAATTAGACATCTACGCCGGTGCGACCTTGAGGTTTTCGTCAACTTCGGGATTGAAGGGTGTCGAAGATTTCCGAGGGTTCCATGATAATTCCTGTTCAGGGCATCGGCCTGCGGAGTGAAGTTTGAGGGTCCGTGGCTCAGGGTACCATCGGAATACATATCAAGGTGGGGCCTATAGGATTGGCGCGTCAGAAGACGCTGACTGGACACAACCCTACCGCGCACGAACCTAGCATGACACTGTGTAACTGCAGAAGAAAGCAGTTCAACACAAGATGCTGGCAGCCAGGCAAAGCTGCACACTCATGCATGGCAGACAGTGTGCAGTTCAAACGTGCGGGTTTGGTGGCACGCACTGGCCGTAAACCCAACACACGCCGGCGCGACACGACCATGACCGGCAAGCGCACCCAAACCCATCCCGGCTGAGCAAAATCAAAATCGCTACCCGGTACACTGCACCCTCGACCCCAAAAAAACAAACCGTAGGCACTGAACCCGATTCAATGCTTACAAGAACCCTTGTGGAACCCTGTAAATCCACCCCTCGTCCTTGTCTTTTCACCCTGAATCCCCCTACCTTGCCACCTTTAGTACCCAAGGGAACCCAAACTTAACCCTTGGGTGTATATTTGGATTTTACAAGGATTCTGGTTCACAAAAAGGTCGAAGGTTACTGACTCTTATACATACCTGTCGGCTCCATTGTAGTTCCTTTTTGTGGCTTCTATTTAGGACCCTATAAACGCAATCCCAAACAAGAACTATAATGAAACCTATGGGGTAGCAATTGCCAGCCGGCTGCTAGTAATTAGACTAAGGAACCCCCAACACAGTATAGGATTCTACCATAAGTATACAAAGCCCCTTTATTACCTAGTCAACTTAGATAGTTGCCAACCGGCTGCTGCTTCGCAGTCTCCGGTGAGCTTCCCACTGCAATCCTCGCACGCACTGCAGTCGAGTAGGGCTCGAAACGCCCCAAAGCCCAAAATGCTAAGCCAATGCTACACCCCCAAAGCCTCGACCCTACCTCCTGAAACTGAAAGCATGTAAATCGCACTCCCCAAATCCTCAGGCCACAACTTTTCAACCACAATAGCCGAAATTGTAAACCCTGGTCAGTGTTCCCTGGGTTCAAAGAACTGAGAGGTGATGGCAACAAGGCAGTCCGGGTCTCTTTGAGTCTGGATCCGACAAGGAGCTTTGGGAGGGGAGATGGAAGTGTAGACAAGCCGATGTGGAGAGCTTTACCCATCAGTCCGACTAAACCTGCACAAAGGCTTCATAAGGTAGGCGCTGTGCTTCATGCACCGGAAGCTCAGATTCCCCCAAAACCCTTGCAACAGTGTCCACGAAGCAGGCGCGCTTCACCATCACCTGCATCAGCGGACTAGGCGCCAAGGAATAAGGAATGCACAGTATCGGCCGTGTCGGGCTTTACATGGCCTTAAAGCTTGTGTTCAAATCCAACCGCGCTTTTGTGATGAAGCCGTACCTACAGACTCCATTGCAGTTCCGTTTTGTGGTCGTATAAGGTAATTCCCAAAAAAGGAACTGCGATGGAGCTTATGGGTAGACGGCCTTAATAATTAGAACAGGCTTTTCGGGTACATTAGACTATATAACCGTAATAAGGTGAAAGGTTGCCTGCTCAACTTGATTGGGATGCTTTTATAGGGTTTAGGGTTTAGGGTTTAGGGTTTAGGGTGCTATGCGAGCTCAGCACCTTCCCGAGCACGAGGAAACGATCGACAAATCTGTTCATTTAAGGGCCTTAATGATTAGAACAGGCTTCCTTTAAGGGCTCCTTTGAGGGATACTATAAGGCCTCTATAAGGGATTCAGGGACATAGCGGCTTGAATAAGTATAATAGGGTTTGGGGGCCCTTTATACTATAGCTATAATACGGAATCCCCAAAATAGTATTGGTAATTATTCAGGCCCCTATATAAGTCCTACCGCTCCTACCGATTGGTACTCTGCGCCTAGGCAGCGGAACAGTGTGATTTAATTTTTGTTCTTGGTGCTGATACCACTGAAGAATGTCACCACCATTGCAAGTACTGTGCGTGACCATTCGGTCGATGATGTTGGCCCGTTGCCCTGCAGCTTTTTGAAAGTTACGTGTAAGCTTGACTATACCCGAAGACAGAACAGCACGGTTCTAGCACACCTCCGACCCCCAAAACATTATACTGCCTAGTCCTCCACCCGAAGCCTACAGCAAATTGGCTCCGACACCCCGGAGGTCTGCGCTGTCCTACATTATTGAACCGTGGCGGTATATGGGAGTTTCCGAAAATGGGGTACCCAATATAGTACCCTAAATAGTAGGATCCTTATTAATTATAAGGACCCCAAAATAAGGTACCCCTAATTTTCGGAAACTCCCATATAGTGACCTTGAACAGCAACTTCGCTGCCGTGGCATGCTCTACGATCGGTGCGAAGCAGAGGAGTGATGCAAACGAAAGCCTCCAAAACGCCGTGGGTCTTCGTCTCGGGGAGAGGCATGAAAGGGGCTGCGTTCCTGCTGCAGGTCTCGGGACAGGAATGGTGGAGAGTTCAGGGTCGAAGCTTAAGTTCAGGGTTTAGATGGATTTCGGATTTAGGATGTATGCCGAAAGTTAACAGCTAGGTGCAAGGCATGTGCACGATTCATGCTAAGGGCATGTTCGTGAAAATCCGAACTCTCTCATGTGCCTAAGCTAGGTCGCACACACGGTACCAAACAAGTCCAAAACCGAAGCCCGCCGCAGGTGCCAGTAAGCGGGAGCATCACTATCCTCATGCTTTGAAGTGGAGCACAGGGAATCCTGACAGTGCCCGTCCTCAGTCCTCGTTCGGACTCTCGAGAGTTCACTGCCAGCTAACATTCCGAACTCGAAGCCGCGAGCCCCCAAACCCAAGACCTGCAGCCAAACGCCTTGAAGACTGAACCAAACCCTAAACACAAAACTGCCTCGCAAGGCGCAACACCGTCGCGCTCCTGGTTGCCAGGAGCCCGATCAGATTCCAGCTGGCATGGCCAACAGGGATGGCCTTGCTCAAGGAATACCACTCGAATCCTGGCATTCGATGCGGGGATGGACAGGGAGCGTTGCGTCGCGCTGGTTCTACAGCGCTTGTACTGGTTTGGGGTTTGGAGGCTTGATACTTTATATCCGGCAATTTCGTGACTACGTGCCCCATATTGGGTGGGTCCATATCTTATAGGTCTATAATGCCTATGTAGGGGCCTTCATAATTAGAATAGGAGTTTGGGGTTCCATATTATGATTATAGTATAGCAGACCCCCAAACCCTATTCTAATTATTAAGGCCCCTGTAGTACACACGGGGTTATGCAGCTTCCGAAGGCCTCGTGTCAGTATCTACTCCAGAGATGCTTGGAAAATAGGGGGCGCCCTAATATAATACCCTAGATAGTAGGATCCTTCTTATAAGGACCTCAAAATAAGGCACGGTTCGAGGGCTTGAGATTTGGGGGTCAAGGCTTGAGGGCCTGCTGCACTGTTCGGTGCTTTAGCATATGGGAGTTTCCGGAAACTGGGGTGCCTCATTTTGGGGGTCCTTATAAGAAGGATCCTACTATCTAGGGTATTATATTAGGGCCCCCTATTTTCGGAAACTCCGATATTGTAAGCCCCTGTCCTGGACCCCCGAACTACCCTCTGATCTGATAGGAACGCTCCGAAGCGGCCTTGGAAGCACTGCGGCTCTATAGCCACGACCTCCAAGTTCATGGACCCTTGGCTCCTCGGAAGGCGGCCCCGCTGAGGGCTTCAAGGGAAGAAAGAAAAAAGAGGGGTTTAGGGTTGTTCTCACGGGCTTCATTACAGTAGGGTTCTGGCAGCAGGATTCGTGGGAAATACCGTCGAAAGGATCGCGAATGGCCCAGAAGAAAATGCACCCAAGGCTCTGTTTCACAACATCTTCGAGGACATTGAGCTGCACCTGCCGGAAGGCTCGTGAATTTTTGCAGGTCATGATTGGGTTTTGAAGCGCTCTTCGTATATTGATTGTTATAAGAACCCTAAACCCAAGGTTTATGACTTCAAGTTTATACAGGCTCAAAAGGGAACATCCGTGTCAACTTCCTCCATGCGTGGTAGAACCCCCTGCTGACGGAATGCAAAGCCCAAGCAGCTACAATGCCGTTTGGGTTTTGCGGTTTAGGGGGTGGGAAATCTATATCCCAAACCTGGGCGACTCCCCCATCATCGGGAATAGCTACCGCAAGGGGCTACCATTCTAGGTCAGTTGAAGGGGCAAGTCCTGCCTCAACACGGGACTGTCGATGCAATAAAGCATCTGAAGCTGTATATCCCTGTCCAAATCAGCCAGAGTCACCCTAAAACAGCCACAGTAGGAGCCCAAAAGTTGGAGACCCTATAGCCTCAATCCCGAAGAGCAAAGTATAGGGAATCCCAGCACGATTTGTCCCTAATTAGGTTTCCAACTTTTTGGAATTTACAATAAGTCATTCATCCCCGAAACATGTGAGGGCCAGGCCTCCTCCTGCGCAAACCTCAGAGCAATCATGAGTGTATTTCGCAAGATTCAAGGTTTCGGGTTTGAGGGTTTAGGCCTTCGTCTCTTCAGGGGCTCAGGATTTAGGGAGTTGGGGTTTCAGTTTCTGAGGATTTGAAGCCTGCACTCTCAGCCTACGCTCAAACCTTCGGGAACTATATATCATAACACCCGCAACAGAGAAGTGTACAGTTCAAGCTGAAGGCAAGACGCAGGACGTGAAAGCCGGCTGGCAAAAACTCCGTGTAGTTTACACATGACCACGGTATGGCCATGCTACATGAAACTTGTGTTGGCGCGAATGCTACAAGCCCTGGTTCCTAGTAATGTCTAAACACTACAGCTTAAAGATGGTGCTTGAACTTTCTGGACTCCGGAATCTCGGCTTCAGTGAGCAGAAGAGACCCCCAAGCCAAAGACCTCGAACCACAAAAGTGGGGATTGTTGAGTCTGAGGGGTGAGACAACTGCACCTCAATCCAACCTGACTTTTTGTTATGATCACCACTTGAAATACCGATTATAATGTTACAATCCCTACTTGAAATACCGATTCTAATGTTATAACCTCTACTTGAAATACTGAATATAGCTCAGCCTCTAGCACCGACCTCTGTTCTCACAGAAGGCTCGTTTAGCTGCATAGCAGCTTCGCGTGCGAGGTTTCGGGACTCAAAGGGCTCCCGAGCGCCCAACAAGGCTCTTCCACATCTTCCGTCCATAAGCCCTACTTGGAGGATCATGCGACTTAGTAAGTGGGGTTATAAGGTAACTATACTGATAAGTACTTATAACCCCAATTAAGGCAAGTAGTCTTATATCATGGGGGGTCGTAAGGGTACCCAGAGAGCCCAAAACCAAGCACAGGCACACAGCTGAGTTAACATGGGGTAACGGGCTTTGGAAACACTAAACTAAACCTAACCTAAAGCATATAGACCCCGCAGGCCTGTAACCCCTAAACACCAAGCTGGTGGAGCCCCAGACACCGCGAGAGCCCCGTCAAAAGACTGCCCGGCTCTCTTGGAACTAGCAGCAGAGTACAAAGTCTAGGTGAATTCCAGTGCATTTCTACTGATACTGCATGTGTATCCACCATGTGGTTTTGTCAAACTATCGACCCATCTACCTATCCACCTACCTACATAGCTATCGAACTATCTCTATCTACCTCCGACTTTTCTTAGGTCCTATTCACTTATGTATGCATCTGTTTGGCCATTTGAGTGCGCATGTCTTTATCCATCCATCCATCCATCCATGCATAGTCCAGTACTGATAATCTCCAACACCACACCCATTGAAGTCTCTCGGCTCCCCTCGTCACCCCACCGAAGCTCCCGAGGCCATCACTGCGGGACCGCCTGCGCTTGCTCCTCGACGGTTTTGGCTCACAGCGGCTTTGAGTGCAGTTCAAGGCCTGGGGAGCCCTAGTCGCGGCGAGTTTCCGAAAACAGGGGAACCTGATTTAGTACCCTAAAAAATAGGACCCTTATTATTAAGGACCCCAAAACAAGGGGCGAAAAGGTGTTAAACGACCCATAGAGGCGTCTTCCGCGACATTGACCTTTTCGAAGACTTGTCCATCCTTCTCATGTAATGCCTAGCAGGACTCCTGCTGTTCTCATTTGGCTGCTTCATGCTGCTTCCAGAGGTATAGCTGGATGGGCACCAGCATCGTAAGATCCGGAGAGCAGCAGTGGGAATAGTGGAACATAGTCATATGAGTGTGGGAGTGTTAGCAGCGGTAGAGGAAACGGTAGCAGCAGCAAGCGGCAGTGGCGCAAGAAGTAGTAGTAGTAGTAGTAGTAGTAGTAGTAGTAGTAGTAGTAGTAGTAGTAGTAGTAGCAGTAGTAGTAGTAGTCGTCGTCGTAGTAGTCGTAGTAGTAGTAGTCGTCGTCGTCGTCGTGGCTGCAGTAGCAGTAGCAGCAGCAGCAGTAGCAGTAGCAGCAGCAGCAGCAGCTGCAGCAGCTGCAGCAGTAGCAGTAGCAGCAGTAGCAGCGGCAGTGGCAGTGGCAGCAGCAGTGGAGGTTGTTGTTGTTGCGGCAATGGCAGCAAGGCCTTAGCAGGTATGATCTCAGTCGTAACCTTGGGTTTAGGACCAATGACAAATCACTTCCCCTCCACTGGCATACCAAACTCTGCTGGATGGCCTGCACCAACTTGTCCTCATACTTCAGAGAGTAGCAGGTCTGATCTGCGCCTGCAGGACTACAGGGAGCTGCACTAAAAACACCCGATAACCTTGGGTAGAGATTGCTAAAGATGCATTTAGGTTCGGCCGGAGTTGATTGTCGTTTGCTGAGCCTTGGTGTACCATTCGGCAATCAGCATCTACCATCTGAACAGCTGAGCTATGCATGTCAGCGAGTCCCATCAACGGAGGGGGTGGAGGATGGCAAATTGGGGCATAACAGCTGCTCTCAAAGGGCTGGCGCATGGCGGATTCCATAAAAACCCTTGCATAGCTTCCATCACAACCGCAAACCGAAGTCATGGAGCTCTGGCTCAGAGCGGGCTCCATTCTAATTTTAGCTTTAAGGAGCAAGGTAAAGGATCCTTCTTAAGGATCCTGACCAAAACGCAGTCCGTAGTTCAGCTGGGGGATGTTGAAGCCGGAAACCCCAACGCAACCCCAAACTCAGAGAGACCACTAAACCCATTCATTGGGTGCAGTTCTATCTAAGCTGTGTTCATAACAGGCACCTAACGATGAATTCTAACTTAGCAACAACCAATATTCATTATAGGCCTCTGAGGAAAGCTCCCCCGCAAACCCTCAAATCCAGAACGATGCCTTGAGTAGGATCGGACTCCTTTACAGCCCAGCCGGTGTAGAGCGTGCAGGACCTCGCTTCAAGGGTTTTGGCGGGTTTTCATAATCAGGGATCTGTTTGTGGAGGGTTCCTTATATGAAGATCCTACGGACGGTATTACGTGCCTTGGAGTCCCTTCTCTTCTGCACGGTAACGCAAAGGTACTAAGGAGTCCTCAACACTGAACCCCAACACGACCTATCACTGTCCATTAACATTCACGAAACCTACACTAGCGAGCACGCATTGTGAACCGCACTGGCTGCTGGCTGCAACGAACGCAGCTTCCGGGCAGCCGGCTTGGCTGCTGAATCAAACGCAAAGCCTGGCCATGACTTTCGAGTTTTCGGGAGGGAGGTTGGTCTAAAGCGATGAGGTTAGGGTTTCAGGGGTTCGGGTCTGCGGTTAGGCGGGTAGGGTTTTCACGCGTTACGGGAAATGGTTTAGGGAAGTTTAGGGGCTAGGATGCTGGGGTTTACAGCATAAGGGTATTGTAAGGGGCGGCACAGCCTTGGGCTCAGGAAACAGGACCAGGATCTATAGAGCTAGATGAAGGTTCGGTAACCCTAAGGGTCCAAGTAGTTCCTGTTTATGGCTTTTGGTACCTAAAAAGGCCCTAAAGTCCTATAATAGGGTGTACTTGGACCCTCTGGGTAAGGTTGTATCCAGGGCTTGAAACGCTTCCTGGCTTTGGATTGGCCTGGACTTTCTGCCAAGGTTCTGCTCTCAGGTCCTGAACCCTAAACCCTTATTATAGTACCCCTATATAGATCCCTCTAAGGGACCCCTTAAGGACCCCACTAACCAAGTCCCAAGACACACCAGAGGCCGACTTTCTGAGTGCTACGAGGTCTCTTATGTTCGTCCCGTGCGGTTCTGCGATTAGGCATCCCTTCATTTATGGGTCCCGCCCTTGCGGCAACACCCGTGCAAAGGTTTTACGAAACCCAATAGAAGCCCAGGGTCGCAAGGAGTTTCCACACTCCCAGCTTGGGTGAGGTGTCCGAAGATGGGTCGATCTCTGCTCAGGTCGTTTAGGGTGCGGAGTTTAACCCAGATCTCTCAATGTCTCTCAATCTGTTTACAGCTACGAGTAGCCCCGAAACTGCGATCCTCTCCCGGAACTACATCACGCTGTCCCCACAGCCCTCTACTCTTTTGCATCCTGGCCTCTGTGTTGGGGTCCTGATACCTTGACCCAAACACCAAGGCCCTAAGCCCACCTGTGCAGGACCCGAAGGACGGGTCGGCCCGGTTCTTGATAATTCGCTCGTGGCAGGTCGCCTTGCCTTCGCAAAATCACATGAGCTGGCCAAACCCTAAACCCTGAACCCTGAATCCTAAACCCTAAACTCTGAACCGTTTTCTCTAAACCCTAAACCCTGAACCCTGAAACCTAAACCCTAAACTCTGAACCCTATGCCCTAAACAAAGCAACTATGGGATGGTCATGGACTTTGGGAACTTTGCGGGGCGACGGAAAAGCCCAGAGCCGCCTGAGTACGCAGAAGGCTTACTTATCGGATCATGGGACTTAGTAATTGGGGTCCTTAAGGGGTCCCTTTAAGGGATCTGTAGGGGTACTATAAGGGTGTAGGGTTTAGGGTCTACTTAAAGGATCATGGGGACTTAGAATCTAGGGTTATAAGTGCCCTAATTGGGGTTATAAGTACTGAAAAGTATAGTTACATTATTTATAACCCCACTTACTAAGTCCCATGATCTTTTAAGTAAACCCTAAACCCTCAACCCTTATAGCACCCGAAAGATCCCTTAAAGGGACCCTTTAAGGACCCCAATTACTAAGCCCCATGATCCTTTAAGTGGGCTGTCCTCTTTGCAGCCCACAAGAAGCTGCCAAATAGAGGGGCCTTAAGAATTAGAGTAGGGCTCCTTTAGAGGGTTCCTTTCAGGGATACATTAAGGGCTCTGTAATGGATTTAGGGATGTAGAGTCCTTCATAACCAGAATAGGGTTTGGGGGTATAGTGTACTACAGTTGTCATAAGGAACCCCACAAAATAGTATCCGTAATCAATTTATTGCCCCTCTATTCTTGCTTCAAGCAGGGGCTGAACTTCGAAATCTTAGAGGTGGATGCTCCCTAAACCCTAAAGCCTAAACCGTCTTTACTCGATTTTTTGAATACACAGAAACACTCAGGCCCTTCTCGACATCGGGTCCAAAAGTCCAAGCGAGATCTAAGAGCTTTGGCGGACCGCTTTGTCATGATGGGCCATGGGCCGTCAATCTGCCCAGATATGACACCTCTATCGACCGCATCTCTAATCACCCTTTTAAACCCTAAGCCTCAACTCGAAACCGCTTTAGCCTAGAATCCCTAGAACATCCCCAACCCCGCGTAAACCCCCGCCAGTAGCGCAACCAGGTGGCAAGCACTGGGTGATGAATCCGTAGAAGCTTTCGGGATGACCCCTTGACCGACGCAAGGGCCTCAAGCGGTGGATGTGCCACAACCATCGTCTCAGCAAACCGTAGATTGGCAATACGAAATCGCAAGCAGAAGCGGCTGATGACAATCGCCATCATCCTCATCATCATCATCATCGTCATCATCCGCTTCTTCTTCGTCGTCATCACCGCCATGGTCATCACCACCATCATCAGTGTCAACGGATCGGCATCACCAAGATCATCAGCAAGATAGAACTAATGATAGTTCTGGCAATAGTTGCAACGGTATCACGGGCGACGGCTGGAAATGTAACAACCAACCTGTCAGAAAATCGGTGTCTGTTCTCCGGATCTACATTGGAGGGCGCTTGTTTTAGTTGTAGCTCTTGGATATGCCCTACACCATCCCGGCGCTTCTGGCAAGGTGTATGTCTGTATTGCAAATGTCGGCGAAGGAGCTTAGGGGTAAGATACCTGTCGTGAAGTATTAGCTGGAAGTAGGGCTGGCTACAAGCATGTCATCCCCAACAACCAACCGGGCATCACCAACTCTTCGCCAAAACTTCCAGATTTCATCTAGCATGCTTGCTGCATCTTGTATGTGCGCGACCACCTGTCCGCGTCGGCTTTCATGCGCTATCAATTGCAGATTCTCGTGTCCGTGCACGAACATTTGCAATATAATAAGCCACCTGTTTTTGTAAGCATAAGCAGGCATGCTCTGTGCGTGTATGTGTGCCCTTCTCAGTTGGAGTGTGAGCTGGACTCAGTGCTGCCACAGTTGTTCAGGTGGTGCAGGAGCATGGGAGCAGCAGCATTGCCATTGCAGCGACTCCACGAAAACGACGACGACGAACACCACGAGGCGCCTGCCACCTGGAAACCTTTCCGCAGGTCTAGGAGGAGAGGGAAAAAGCTGGTCTTCGCGCGCCTTGTCCGATGAGCCCCGACAAAGTCTCTGCAGGCTTCGTCTGCGCGCCATTCTGAGCACAGCAGGGTGTTGGAGAATCAGGAAGGATGATGAGATAAGGAATGCATTTCTCCTCCTTCCGGGATGCCAAACGCAGCTAGAGATAGATGGAAGCCCGGAAGCAATGTGCCCCGAATCCCGCAGCGCAAAGCAAGGCAAGCTGTGATCAAATAATTTCGCCTGAGCTCCCCTTCTTCTGCCCCAAGCTGCAAGGAACAGTCCTCGAGCATAGCATTGAATACTTCCTGATCTTGCTGCGCTTTCACCCGGAACCCCCGGAATCCTGACGACTCCAAAGCGCTAAGCCACTTCTGCCCTCTACCCAGAGGCACCATAGTAGTTCCTTTTTGGGATTACCTTATAGGATTCTATATATGTGCCCCAAAAAGGAACTACTTTGGAGCCTTAGGGTATACCCCGAGAAGTGTAGGTTTCGAAAACCCGGAAGATTCTGATCAACACTTGCCTGCTCGGCAAGGATCTCCTTGCAGTTACCTGGGTCGACCTGCTTCAAGCATCGAGATTTTCTAGTGGCCAGGATTGCCAAGCTTCCCAAACTTTAGGGCTTGGGGCTTTTGAGTTTAGCGACTTGGCGCTTACGGCTTAATACTGTCTTTGCAATCGGCTTCCTGATCCTCTAAGCACGGAATTAGGGCAAGAGGGTTTCCCCTGGCCTCTCCCCTACACCCTAAGCCCTCAATCCCGAAACACTCTCAGGGCTTTGGGGGGGATTGGCTCTGGGGGTTTCCAGGTTCACGACTGAACATGACTTCAATGCCCTCTGAGCTCAGATATAGGTTTAGGGTTTGCGGGTTTAGGGCTTTAGGGGTTTGGGGCTTAGGGCAGATATAAGTATATAAGCTCCAGTAAAACACCTGAAGAATGAGGGTTACCCGTTTTCCAGAAACCCTTTAACCAAAATTTAGAACGGCACCAGCCACCGGACCTGGTCCGGGGTGCAGCTTGTAAGGAGGAAGGCTGAAGCTTTAGAGTTCCTCCTGCTCTGGTAGAAGCAGGATTTCAAAAAAACGTACGTACCTTTGAGGCCGCTTTCCTTCAGCATCCTACTCTTTAGACTTCAGGGTGTCGGCTCTCGCACTCGGACAAATCCAGGCGAGGTATATGACTCGGGGT